CTTTAATTCTCAATTTCTGCACTTCATGACATTTACCAAAATTTAGACACCCTTTCGTTTTTTTAGCTTAGGGGTTTGTAAACGTCGCAACCTGTTTCATGATGAGTGCCTTCAAGGTATTCTGATCTGGTTCTTTTGCAACAATAACAGGTTTTGCCATTCACACCAGACGCGATTTTTCTGTGTTATCAAAGCAACAATGTCATAACTACTTACTTCACTGGAACTGGTCCTCCTCATAGTTCTTATTGCTATGCTCGGGTCTTGGTGATGAGGTATTAGCAGAACCTCAATTAACTCAATGCCATGGTATTGAGAAACTGGCCATGAAGGCATACATTTCAAAACAGTAGTTCTCTTATCTCACCATTTTGGCCTAGCTAGCGAGGTTAGCGCAACTTGCCTGCCTCAACATGCAATTAACTTATTCTTAAACACCTAAAATGCCACTCATAAAGAGAGGACAAGAAAGGCGGGTAAATAACCACTGTCATCATCCTTTAACAAATGTCCAATGGATTTTAAAGCTAGATATAAGATAGAAGAATAGTTCTTTGTTTGAAAAAAAACAAAAATAAATATAATTTACTACACCTACCTTGGGCATTTTGGTGTAGGTTGATTAAAACTGTATCAGTCATACTAAATTTAAGAGAGATAAGGAAGACAACTTTCTCCCTCGCATCAGGACTAGATGATCGGTCCAAAAAATAACTAAAAATAAATAACAGGTAGCTTGAGTCATCATGCATCTTGGCTGAGGTTTCGGGTGGTAAAAAATACCATTTCGGTGATTGCAAAAAAACTGTCGAACTTAAATTGGATGTGGTCAGGTTTAGCCTCCTGATACACGAAAATATTAAGCTAGGAGAAGCAAGGAGTGGAATATTTGGTTTGCTGAAGTATGACAGCATCAAAGCAGTTTGACAGTGCTGGAAAATCCTTATTTCGCACTTCTTTCAAGCTAAGAAGGAAAAAGGAAGATAGGGCAATGTTTACTCTC